CTTTCAGATTATGGTTGGAACAGTGATCACCTACGGGCTTTTGGGAAATGCCAAGAGGCACTAGCACACATGGGCGCTTTAGCACACCCCGACCCCGTGTGGTACTTATCCCAAAATTTCACCGCGAACTCGTATTGTAACGCTATCATTTCGCCTGTCGGCAGTTTCGTGTGGCATGGCACCCGCTGAGAAAAGTTGTGCCGATTCGCAAAATCTTGGCACAACTTAAGGAGAGACTTGTACGCATCCTTTTTCGCCACTTTGTAGTCTTGAAGTCAAGTCGGATGATATGTCTTCATGAACGTAATCATGTGCATTGAGGTCAAAATATGCTCATCGCGTCGAACGTCCTTCATGAAGCTGAGTAGCTCGTGCTTGAACGGGAATATGGCACGCCTTGTCCACCAAGAGTCGTCCGCTTGCCGCTGATGATTGCTTGCAACAGTTCGACCTATCACGTAACCACCCAATCCACGTGCTCCTTGGGAAGTTGTTTCGCTGGCAAAAAAGGCGGCAAGTGATGTTCAGTTCGTCGAACGACGCAAGAAATTTTTGCTTCTCTGGTGTACGACTTGCGACAGCTAGGCATGACAGGCAAAACGATGTTCTGATTCATATGGCATGCATAGCCTCGAGTTTGAACTTTCAAAACGTTAACCAATTTAGTAGTTTTTTTTCTGCACTGCGATTGGTCAAAAAGAATGAAAGTTATGAAGTGATATTGAAATATACAGATGGTACAATATATTACAACAGATCATGCAACAGAGGTGGTCGGCTTTTTTAGGGGTGTCGGCTTTTTTCCGGGGTTAACTGTATCTAAAAAGCACGCGTAAAAAAGGCATACCCCGGTAATGCTTGATAAGGCGTGGGCAAGTCTTGAAAGTTATCAAACGACAACACCCTTGTGGATAGAATTTGCGTGGTTTGTTGGGGGCTTGAACTTTGTCGGCTTGAGACTCGTGGAGGCTCGTTGGTGCAATATCTGGTCGTTCCTGCTTAAACCGACCAGTTTATGACATCAGACGGTGGAACGTCAGCAGAGGGTCGGAATTATTCCGGATAATAGTGTGGAATTTTCGAATCATCTTCCAACATTTAACAAGTTAAAAAGATTACAATGGCTACAGTACTGGGAACGACAGAATGCAACGCCCACCGAGAGATTATGGTGTGTTATAGGTAATTTTGTCCAATAATTATCAATGTCCAAAATACTACATTTTGATTGGCAAAAATTCTATTTTCGATTTGAAGAATCAAAATAATGAGAACATCCACATCAAAAAATGAGACGCTTCGTATCCAATTTCGATGAACCTCGAGGAATTAGGTCTCCTAGAAACGATGTCGTGTCGCGAGGTAGCCAAACTACACGAGTTGCCAAGACGTACAGTCCGAACCAGGCACCATCAGCGTCATGTGCTCCTGGCTTCGAGGAGACAAGAAACGAGACTAGGTAGAACCACAGAACCAGGAGGTAAGTATGAGGAGTTCCCAGACCCACCAGGTCTCATTGACTTCTTAAAACTATATTCGTGACAATGAACGGGCACTAACAACTACTCACATGATCACATGGATGTAGTTGAACGAGAGAGATTGGCTCCTAGCCTACCTCGCAACAAAAAAACCACGACCGCATACAGCTCGTTGCTCCGGCTGCTCCAGCGCTTTTGCCAGCGCCATGGATTCTCTCATCAACGTAAAACTAAAAACAAGCTTAAGCAAAGCGTCCTTAACGAGACCTACCAGCAATTCGCTGCCTACTTTCACCGGGAATACGCCTCCTGCGACAAGAACTGTGTGTGCAACGTTGACGAAACCGGGATATACTATGACATATTTGTTTTACATACTTGAACCAAGATAATTATAAAGTTTTTACCAAAAATGCTCTTCGCACCCGGGGCTCACTCAAGACACACCATGTATTTGACCACTACGCTATAGCGTCGAACGGTTTAATGCACGACGCTGAATAAGACCGGTGCACCTATCTGTGATTGGTCCGAGGGCAAGAGAGTATTGTCCAATCAGGGACAACAAACTGGAATTTCGACAAAATCATATAAAAATTGTGATCTCTGAATATATATTCTGAAAGGTCATAATTACAAAAAGAATCAACCTCATACATTGGGGTTGACTAGACACCATGTTCTTGGAGGTTATAAAATAGATCATTCATTTCATTCCCCAGTGACCGGAGCGCCATAAGGGTGTATCCTTAACTTAGCTAGGGGACCCAAAATGTGGTATGACCAGTCAAAGGTTAAAAATTAAAATACTATATTCAAATCAAAAATAGAATAGTCAATATGCGTGTTTATAGATGAATTTTTTCATAAAAAAATGTTGTACTGCTCCGCGTATTCTTCTGAATACAATGGACTTGATCACATCCTTCAAACAGAATACTCTCTATGAAATGGTCAATCAAAGTCAAGCATGATAGTCAATTTGTATCCTAAATATTTATAGTCTTCGACAATTGATAAAGTTCTCGCATGAGTATATTCGTTCGTAGAGTCATAATATCCTTGACGGAGTTTATTAGTTTGCCATCTGATATTTCATGCTTCATTTTAATTGGTCAGCTTTAGGATCATGGGGTGCACCTTTCATTCTTCAACAAGCCCACAATGTCTGGACTCGCCACTGAGCTCGACGACGAGATCACAACCTTCGTCAATACAGAGAACCGGGGATGAACTCGCCCACAGTTGTACCACAGAAATTTTATTCAAATGGTGGGGAAATATTAAGCCAAGCACAGCTCTAGTGTTCGACTCACTTTAATTGGAGGAAATATTTCCTGTGTAACACTTTTCATTAGGTTATTCAAATAATCCGAAGCAAGAATTTCAAAAGTCCATCAAGGTCAAAGGGCACACAGTCTCGACGGCCACACAGTCTCGACGGCGTGCGCCACCCCGACGCAAGCCGCTGTTAAAACCGTATCGTCGCTCAACACTGCTTGCAAATCGAAAACAACAGCGATACACTATAGTGACAAAAAAGGCTCTCCTGCAGAAACACTAAACGGTCGGGCCGTGCAGCAGTGACCGCGAGTTCTCACGACAGGAGAACGTTCCCATAGCCACTCTACGAGGTTGGTTAGCTCGAAAGGAGGAGTTTCTCGAATCCAAAAAACACACCAGTAACGCCACTCTGAGTGGCATGGTCACATTGAGGCCGTGGACTTCGGGGCCGAACTGGCCAACTTCATGGATAGCGTCCGCGACCGCGAAAAGTTCCTGACAACAGCGCACCTTGTGACATGGCTGAAGACGTATCGGCCTGGATGGCTTGCCGCGTACCTCGAAGAAAAATCGGATCCATCACGTGCGTACAAAGCTCTCCTGGGGTGATGCCAAGCTTTTGCACACCGTCATGGTTTCTCGCAGCGCGTACCATGCGCGTCCAAAAGGACACAAGTCGACTTGCAAGCCACGCGTGTTGACTACGCTCGCTCATTCTGGGCAAGGTTCAGTGCCTGCGACCTGGGGAACATCATTAATATCGACGAAATCGGAGTTCATTATGACATGCCACCACGTCGTACATGGGCTCGGGTTGGGGAGACGGCCAAAGTTGACAGCCAGCAGAAGTACTCTGACAGGATAACCGCAGCCCTCACAGTACGCGTAGATGGTGAGATTGAACACATCACCCGTACTTACGTGTCGTCTAGGGTGGAAGTTGTCGCCTTGCATTATCGTGCGTGGTTTGCCTGTTGGCCCGGTAGAACAGGACGAGTTGCCGACAAATCCACGCGACGCAATCTACGCTGTCCAGGAGAATGCATGGATGGATGAGCGAGTATGGGTACCTGCGCGAACTTTTGCAGTTCGAGATCGAAGCACCGACCGTCTGTCGTGGTGGTTGATAATCTGTCGGCGCATGTCACACCTGCGGCGTGCGATTTTGTCTGTGGAAACATCTACAGTGTGCTGGAAGAATTGCCGGCAAACGCAACAAGTACCGTTCAGCCGCTTGATGTCGGTGTGATGGGGCCCTTTAAGGGC